CGATTCGTCGTTTAAGATAGCAAGGTTAGTTGGCGATCTCGCATCGATACGAATTTGAATTTATCATTCTTTAATGGTTCTGTTTTGTGAACTTCTCATGAGGAACTGGAACGGGAATTGAGTAAAATTAAGTTTTGAATTGTGTTTTCAAGAACGATGTTTGTCGTAAACGTTAGGAATGATTTGTAAGAATATTTTTTGGTTTGTTTTTAAAGGTTTTTGTTAGTAAAACTGATAGTCGTTGTGAACGAATTTCCGTATTTATAATATAATTGTAAATGAAAACAAAAGGAAAGAATATTTGTAAATAATGATTTTAAAATTTTAGTCGTGAGGAGTTACCGTCGACAGTGTTCTTCTTGCCGAGAGGAGGAAGCACGTCGACGAGATCAATTGGACTACTAGCACTACCCGTAAATGATCGATCGATGAGGATTGTTGCTATGACTGAGCGGCAGCTCTCCGGCGGAATCGGACTACTAGCACCCTACCACCACCACCCATCGTCCCATTCGAGCAGTGCAGTTTGCGATCACAAGACATCTTCTAAGCAAACTGCCGAATCCGTTGTTGTGTTGTGTTGCCCTACCGCCGCCTCTGTGTGTTATTCGTCAATTTTGCCCACGGTTTTAAAACTTGCTCCGGTAAGTTTTGAGAAGAAGTGTGTGGAGAGTTTTATGTTTCCATTTCGTTTTGTTAGTAATTTGGTGGATAGAGAGGATGTTGTTAATGTGGCGCAGTGGTTAGTACGCGTAGTTGTTGAGAAAAGGGATGCTGGTTCGATGCAAGCCAAGGACATAAAGTTGATTGAGTGATGAGGTGAACGGACGGTGATGATGAGTAAACAGGTTGGTCCGTGTTTCCGACGAGAGAATGACGTTGCCCACAACCCCTGAGCCATCCGTTCACTTTATACTTTGTGCGATTGATGTTGTAGGATTTTGGAGAATTTTATGTTAGGGATGATTGGGTTCGGGTGGAATTTTGGTTTTAATTTGTAAATGTTTACGATGAAAATGATTTTTTGATGGCGTTTTTCGAGGAATTAACGAATGGAATGTGAAAAATGATTGTGTTTTGTTTTGAGGTTGTTGACGGCGTTTGTGAGTGTTGGAAGAAGGTGAATGA